TCCTTAGATGTTTACGTAGTGTTTCATGAGAGACATTCAATTTCAGGGCCATTTCACGGGTGTGTTGCCTTGGGTTAGACTCAACCAGAGTCTTCAGAGCATCAATATAAATCCCAACATGTCGGCCCCTGCCTTCACAGTTTTTAAGGCTAAAATTACCTGAACGAAATTTGCTGAACCATCGTTGACACTTACGAACATTCAAAACATTTCCATAAACGTTTTTGATATTTTTTTGTATTCAAACAGCATTACATGCCGAACGTATGTCTCGTTGTGTGGCATCGCTATAAGGGATTTTAGTATACTAAACTTTACACATTATATAGGCTACACTAACGTGACGTTTAAGCAGTTCGTTTAACTATTATACATGATGTACGTTTTTTTTTTGGGGGGGGGGTTAATGACAGTGTTCCAAAACGCGACATTGATTTCTTGACGACCTAATACTTTCATATGACAGTATTTTTCTTAGGAATAAATCTCTTTCACAAGAAACAAACCATTAAGTTGTTAGATGTAGAACGTAAAAGTTGAAACTCAATTATTCCTTTTAGGATGCACTAAGTATCAAAATAGGACAGAAATATTTTTTATAAACACATTACTTAACGGCTGTAGGCAATACGTTAACTGATTTATCATAGGTGACTAATAGTTATAATGTACTACCTAATCACAGATGTTGTTTGATGAGCTTTTGTTGTGGGATTAAAGTTTTCAATTACAGCTATTAACAACATCCCTTAGTAACTGAGAATATGTTTACAACAAAAGCTATTTTTTTTTCACTCTTTCTGTATTGTGTTAATTGTCTCTTTAATGTGGTATGACACTAGAATTTATGTACTTTATATGAAAATAGTCGAAACGTCCGCAGTAAATATTCGGAAGTCTGGGCAGTTCTTAACCACCAGATTCATATATTAATGAACCATCAGATTCATATATCAACGAACCACCAGATTCTTATATCAATGAACCACCAGATTCCTATATCAACGAACCACCAGATTCCTATATCAACGAACCACCAGATTCATATATCAATGAACCACCAGATTCCTATATCAATGAACCACCAGATTCTATATCAATGAAACACCAGATTCATATATCAACGAACCACCAGATTCCCATATCAATGAACCACCAGATTCCTATATCAACGAACCACCAGATTCATATATCAATGAACCACCAGATTCCTATATCAACGAACCACCAGATTCATATATCAATGAACCACCAGATTCATATATCAACGAACCACCAGATTCCTATATCAATGAACCACCAGATTCATATATCAACGAACCACCAGATTCCTATATCAATGAACCACCAAATTCCTATATCAATGAAACACCAGTTTCCTATATCAACGAACCACCAGATTCCCATATCAATGAACCACCAGATTCCTATATCAACGAACCATCAGATTCATATATCAATGAACCACCAGATTCCTATATCAACGAACCACCAGATTCCCATATCAATGAACCACCAGATTCCCATATCAATGAACCACCAGATTCCTATATCAACGAACCACCAGATTCATATATCAATGAACCACCAGATTCCTATATTAACGAACCACCAGATTCCTATATCAAGGAACCACCAGATTCCTATATCAATGAACCATCCAGATTCCTATATCAACGAACCACCAGATTCCTATATCAATGAACCACCAGATTCATATATCAATGAACCACCAGATTCCTATATCAACGAACCACCAGATTCCTATATCAATGAACCATTTTATGTAACAAAAGTGTCCTACTGACAGTATTTCGATGTTAGAAAACAATTCTCGACATCTACTTAGCCAAAACGTATTGTGTCTGAGTCACATAAAGTATTACCGTTAAGGGGCACAGAACATCTGGGGAGTTCTCACGCCCTCGTTTGTTGAAGATGGTTTTTCTTGTTAGCGACATAAAGCTCGCACTCTAATTTCTCTTGTTCAAAACTTCTACCACACATTTATATGGTGTTGTCACGTGACACAAAATGAGAAGTATATACACAAACCTAAAGGATGATATCTTGCACGCACGTTACCAAGGCAACAACATAGGTAGTATGTTTTTGAAAGTCAAGTGGAGTGGAAAGACGAGATAGTAGACCGAAATTATAAACTATGAAAAAAACAGGATAAGAGGTTTGGGATTGTCTTTTATTTAATAGTCCCCCTTGTTGGGGATCCCCCATCCAAACGTATCTTGCAAAGAAAAAGTAACAAATAAATGTACTAGCCTGAAATCTGTTCTCTCCCACGTTTTACACAATCCGATAAAAAAAAAATATTTCGTGCTTTAGAAATTATTTTGCTCAAAATTCCAGTTCAGAAGTTTATTTGAATGAAGTAAATCTGGCCTCAACCATCAAGTGGATGTACGACAGATAAGACGCACGTGTTTCCACTAACATTTAACTTAACCCTTCTCTTATTTATTTCTACTAACCCTAATCTTCATTTGTGCCTAAGATATGACATATGTGGGCGATGTGCCGTAGAATCTACATGTACTAGCATTCTCTCCTTACATCCCACGTAGTGGATCCCAGGAGAATCCCCAAGTCATCTATTGGTTCTATTACATGTTGTGTAGAATGTAGATCACGTGGTTTATATGACTACCGTATGTTTTCAGTAAAATAGATCCGAGGTTACTCAGGTATTCACTGTTTTACTACTGTTATAGCTCTGTATTCGTGTTTAGTTATGATAATCTTAAACAACAACAAAAGAAGAAACCATCTTTACAAGAGGTTTTCCTCCCTATGATCCTGGAAAAATCAAAGTATTTAATTTAAGAAAAACCCCAGGATTTATCCCAGATAAGTTTTGAATGCTGCATTTACGTGTGTCAAAATGAATAAATTATGTGACGAAGAGTAGTAGGGCCTAAAAATGTCTCGCAAGCGATTTTCGAGTGCTATAAAAAGAAGAACGATTATGATGTCACAAAACAAAGAATGCTATCGTGAAATATATAAAAAATCTGTTTTAGTGTCTTTGAACTTATGTATAGCCAAAACTGTAACATTATAGCAAGACTGACACGTACTAATGGGAATCAATTTGGTGTATAGTTGACCATAAACACCTCAAAAAAATTAAGGCTTAGCATATCTCAATCACTGATCAATTTGGTGTGTAGTTGACTATAAACACCACAAAAAATTAAGGCTTAGCATATCTCAATCACTGATCAATTTGGTGTGTAGTTGACTATAAACACTACAAAAAATTTAAGGCTTAGCATAGCTCAAGCACTGATCAATTTGGTGTGTAGTTGACTATAAACACCACAAAAATTTAAGGCTTAGCATAGCTCAAGCACTGATCAATTTGGTGTGTAGTTGACTATAAACACCACAAAAATTTAAGGCTTAGCATAGCTCAAGCACTGATCAATTTGGTGTGTAGTTGAATATAAACACCACAAAAATGTAAGGCTTAGCATATCTCAAGGACTGATCAATTTGGTGTGTAGTTGACTATAAACACTACAAAAAATTTAAGGCTTAGCATATCTCAAGCACTGATCAATTTGGTGTGTAGTTGAATATAAAAAAAACTAATTAGTATAGTATTAAGTTTACTGTAAATATTGCAAAGTTTAACTAAACTAAACACCGATTAGTTTAGTATATTATACCTACAGCAAGGCTGGAAAATGATTAGTTTAGTTTATAGCTTACCATAAAAATTGTAAGATTTAACACAGCTGTAACATAGTCAGTTTAACTCTTATCGTTTCGTTCTGAACTCGCCATCGTATTGAACGGAAAAGTAATCTAGTTAATATTGTTGTTAACGTTTCTGACTGCTATCATATTGCTATTGAATAAACATTGGCCATTAGAAAAACCTGGACCAGTGGCTCCGCTGCGCGGCTCTTGAGCAAATCTTATTGGAGTACGAATTCGCTTCTGTTGTATCATATTAATATCTGCACGGACTTGGTTAATGTCTTGCAATGCATTCGACGTAATTTTCCTGTAAAAGATGTCTCTAAACTTCGCTCACTGTTAGTTGTGTGTGCTACACTGCAGGAAGTAAACTGGGATTATTGAATCGTGTTAAAAACTGGTGTATTGTTATTGAATGCTGCATCAACGAAGTGAGCATCATTGGAATTGCTGACCAATCATTAGATTATCTTGTTATTACACTTTACGCCTTTTATTTGCATACATCTCATAATGGGCCAAAATACAGAGTGAGTCAAAAAGTCTTGATTTTTACTATTGTTGTGAAGTATGTGGGGGAATATGGAAAATCTGCTGACGTAGGGTGTTTAGGCATACTGAAGACCATTTATTAACTACCCTGATGTCGTGATATAAAGGTTAAATCAAGGTCATCCAAATGCTGTTTATGGAATGCATAAACTTGCATAATTTTATAACTCACCTTGTATTAAAACGAAATTTTCCGATTTAAAAATTTATGTATATTTATGGGAAAGCCGTAAGGAAAACTAACGTTTTTTTTTTTTTTTTTTTACGTAGTGTCGTTGTACGGTATAACTTTTGTATTGGTATATTTTATCTCAAACCGGTAGTTTCAGAGACAGCATTTGACTAATCTTGATTTGACCTGTATATCAAGACATCGGGTTAGGTAACAAATCACCTTCAACATTCCAAAACAAGCTACGTCAGCAGATTTTCGATATTCCACACTTACTTCACAACAATAGGAAAATTCATTCGATATTCCACACTTACTTCACACAATATTCCAAAACAAGCTACGTCAGCAGATTTTCGATATTCCACACTTACTTCCCAACAATAGGAAAATTCATTCGATATTCCACACTTACTTCACACAATATTCCAAAACAAGCTACGTCAGCAGATTTTCGATATTCCACACTTACTTCACACAATATTCCAAAACAAGCTACGTCAGCAGATTTTCGATATTCCACACTTACTTCACAACAATAGGAAAATTCAGCACTTGTGACTCATCCTGTTTTTTTTAAAGAAATAGGCGTGGCTTTTCTTAATCAGTCTTAATCTGGCAGAGTAATCCCATTACCCTTAGAGACCGGAGTGCCCCCTATTCTATTATTGGGGTAAGGGTAATACTGATTGGACGTAATATAAATGGTGTTCTTCCACTAGCCTGGTTTACCTTCAAAAGTCATGTTACCTTGCTACTATTGTAATTAAAGTTGTGTAAAAAATAGTGAAGAAAGAGAAAGATACTGTGATGAACAAGATACAGACAAGTAATAGACTTGTAGATGATGTGATAGATCAATACAGAAATTGATGGAAAGAAGGATGTAGGAGACAAAAATATGTTTAGAAGTTTCATTCGAAGAGCATTTGCAGACATTTATCTTTTTAACCTTTGAAGTATAGATAGACAATTTACACACAAACAAATCGACTATTTCTGTTAATTTCCGTAATATCTTTTCCGCGTGCTCTCTAGGGGTAGGCTCCGTCTCGGGCCTTGAGCATCTTTATCTCTCCATCTCGGGCCTTGAGCATCTTTATCTCTCCGTCTCGGGCCTTGAGCATCTTTATCTCTCCATCTCGGGCCTTGAGCATCTTTATCTCTCCGTCTCGGGCCTTGAGCATCTTTATCTCTCCGTCTCGGGCCTTGAGCATCTTTATCTCTCCGTCTCGGGCCTTGAGCATCTTTATCT